TTCTGTTTCATTGACAATAACCGCCAAACAAATCATAGATCACAATGTTTAATCTCACCTGACTGTTTGTCAGACGTACCTTCCAGGCATAGTTTGCACAAATACATCGTGATAATGGTGACGTAATGCATTGTTTATTATCTGATCACCGGTAGAATTCTGAATCCTCAACATGTTGCTATGGGGAGAGGGGTATACCGATACAGTAACGAACATATAGAACATTGCGAAATGGATCTATCTAAAGCGAATATTCGATGATAAGAGTATTTATGAATGTGATTTTAAGAGGATTTAATAGGATGATAGTGAACGCAGGCATTTCTGCCTCTGTATTCACACCAATGCAATGTATTAATATGAACATAATTATTTTAGAGAGTGACACTACACGAAAGAGCCAAACAGAGAGCGATACAGAGTATGAACCAGCCATCTTCCTACTTTTCGCCTCAGAGTCCGTCAAAACACATTTTCTTCACCGCTTCCCTCGCAGGCTTTCTGCCATTTTGGAAGACGGCAGATTTATTTACAGTTCTTTGCGCATGCGTCAAAGGGCAGGACTTCCCGTATTATTATAAATAAACACTGAGTCGTTTCGAATTCTAATTAAAAACTATTTATTACGTTAGATTGGTAGCGATTTATTTTTCAATTGCGGTCTTACAGGGAATGTCAGAACTTTTGCTACCTCTAGATATCTATATATTTATATAAAATAGTATCGGTGAGCATATATTTTTTTGTTTACAAAACACGTCAATTTAATGTTCACATATATAATGTATATAAAATGTGTGTCCGTACACTAAGGCCGGTCAGGCAAGTCAAAAAACATCAAATATGCGAGTGTATCTAGCTATTCAGTGTTCATCTGATATATCTACAAGTGCCCGATTTATATATTAATGACTTGATTAAGAAATATCCTTAGTTATATTCCTATATATATAGAAAAGTAATAAACTATATCTCACACTTATTTCTATGCCATTTCTAAATTTATATCTACCACGACTGAACCGAACAACGTGCATACATCATTAGCTGTCGGTCTGTTTAACAAGACATCATTTTACCACTTTTTCTTCAAAATACACCTTTTTTCATTTCTAAACATCCTTTTAATTTTGCAAGCACCTTTTAATACCTTGGAAAACATATTTTTTTAAGTTAATAGGAGCTTTATTGACGACAAAATGGATTAAAATGACTACAAACTAGATTACAACACTAGGTCAACAGAGATATTTAAGAACAGTTGGAAAACTACGAGCATTTTGTTTGTCAAAGGTTACATTGATGCTGATAAACGACAAACTAACAATAGAAAATGACGTATCATGCGACGAAAAAAAAACAAAAACAAAAAAACAAACTTTCGTAAACAATAATTGCTATCACTATTTAGTGAGAATTGCAGCACGGATTTAAGTATCTAATGATGGTCCCAAATTACTATAACTATTTTTATTTTTAAATTTATCAGAAAAACAAAACGACGAGCAAGCGGCCATCTTAGATATTTGGAGTTAATTAAGATTTAAACCTCCCAAATGGCATGTTTTTCACATTGTGATGATTTTGAAATCGAAACAAGAAGCACCATTCATTTTCTGGCTTGAAAATGAGTCTTTTAGCATTACTGCTGTAACAAATACATAATGCAGTTTAATCTATATGTTTCTCTAGTGTAAATATATATTGAAAGGTTCTTATACCTTAGTATACAAAAGAACACAAGAAAATAAGAACATAGCAACATAGTCATAATTAAAACTCAAATTCCATTAAAATAGCGCAAAATATGAATGAAAGAAAGATTTACACTTCCAGTGTACATAATTTCATTTTCTATATCACCACAGTGTTATTGACATTCAAGAAGTGTTTGCTTCATTATAGATTAAAAAAAAAAACAGAACGAAATAAAGTGCTCTAGTTGATAGTAACAAAACGAGGTCGATGGTGGTGAGGGACTTAAATATCACTGATGCAGTATATCTAAAAATATTAAAATCAAGCAAGATTCAAGATACAATTTTCTTTCCATGGTACCATTTCTCCTTCCAGTGCTACAAACGGCTTCCCAAAAGATGCAGTCAAAATGTGATCTCAATAAGCATAGAAATGGAGGTCGTTGTTAAATGACCCTAGCCAACGATCAAAAGTTCAACAATGTAAACCAAACCAGATTTTTTTAATCACAAGATATTTTTGTGATTTTTAAATAAAAAAGTAAATTATCATATTCATTGTTACTTGTGAATAACGGTCAATGATACCTCTAAATACTGTTTAATTAAACCCGTATAAAGGATCGATATCGGATGTTGGAGCTATATGAAAGGACGCCTAGCATTTAGTTTTTTGTTGTTTTATATATGTGTGTGTACGCTACGTGGGGAAGAAAATATTTTATTTGTTCCGAACAATTATCCGCTTTTTTTTATTAAAAAGTCTGTCGTGACAGATATGAATTGTTGTCAAACATGTAGTTTATTAATATTCTTGCTATATCCATTAATATCTGACCGGTGAATGACAACTAATAGTAAAACGTGAGGAAATCCGCATAAAACTCCGTATGATAAGTCACTTCAAGGGAAGAAATTATTGTACACATCATTATAATCATCAAATGGAATCTGGAAGTATTCAAATGAGAAGCCGTGAAAGGAGAGTATATCCCGCCAACATTATACACACTTATTTGTATGTTCCTGCTTATACGAACAGAAATCAGTGGACCGCAGAGGAAAAAAGGAAGTTATAACTACACAGTATAGGGAACGGGCTGAACATCTCTAGACCATGGAAGGAACGGGCTGTAAATCACTGGGCCGCAGCGGGAACAGGAAGTATTTAACTAAACAGCAGAGAGAACGAACTGGAAATCACTGGACCGAAGAGGGAACAGGAAGCAAATCACTACATGGTAGATGGAACGGACTAGGCATCACTAGACCATGGAAGGAATGGGCAGGACATCACTGGACCGCAACGGGAACAGGCGGTATATAACAAGACAGCAGAGGAACGCGTTGGGCAGCACTACACAATGGAAGGAACAGGTGGACATCACTGGACCGCAGAACGATGAACGATCATGTACTGCTCAATGTAATATAAATTAGCAAGTGTTAGCGTTGTGATTTCTTGACAGCAATCAATAAATAGATAATTCATTGTAGAAGGAATTAACTTTGATTTCAGCTTGGGTATGGTCATCATCTGAGTAATCATTTGTCCTTATTTGTCGGATGCTATATAATTATCAACATTATATGGTTCATTATGCAACGAAAACATACGTTTAGTTATCATTTGGGCTGCAGATATTTTTCTAGACACTTGCTAAATGATAATCATCTTTTCTAATTGGTTAAAAATATCTAACTTCCCAAACTTCTATTGGAAAAATTGCAGATCACACTTGACCTAAACAGTTCTCTGGAGTCCAAAAACATGCTCTTATTATAAATTTTTGTTGGATTTGAGATAGAATATGAATTTGCATCCCTGTAACCTTAATTTGTATCCCTGTAACCTTAATTTGTATCCCTGTAACCTTAATTTGTATCCCTGTAACCTTAATTTGTATCCCTGTAACCTTAATTTGTATCCCTGTAAACCTTAATTTGTATCCCTGTAACCTTAATTTGCATCCCTGTAACCTTAATTTGTATCCCTGTAACCTTAATTTGTATCCCTGTAACCTTAATTTGTATCCCTGTAACCTTAATTTGTATCCCTGTAACCTTAATTTGTATCCCTGTAAACCTTAATTTGTATCCCTGTAACCTTAATTTGTATCCCTGTAACCTTAATTTGTATCCCTGTAACCTTATTTTGTATCCCTGTAACCTTAATTTGTATCCCTGTAACCTTAATTTGTATCCCTGTAACCTTAATTTGTATCCCTGTAACCTTAATTTGTATCCCTGTAACCTTATCCCTGTAACCTTTTTGTATCCCTGTAACCTTAATTTGTATCCCTGTAACCTTAATTTGTATCCCTGTAACCTTAATTTGTATCCCTGTAACCTTAATTTGTATCCCTGTAACCTTATTTTGTATCCCTGTAACCTTATTTTGTATCCCTGTAATTTTAACTCACACCCCTTTAATCTTAATTCGCATCCCTTTAATCTTAATTTGCATCCCTTTAATCTTAATTTGTATCCCTTTAATCTTAATTTGTATCCCTTTAATCTTATTTCGCATCCCTGTAACCTTAATTTGTATCCCTTTAATCTTATTTCGCATCCCTGTAACCTTAATTTGTATCCCTTTAATCTTATTTCGCATCCCTGTAACCTTAATTTGTATCCCTTTAATCTTATTTCGCATCCCTGTAACCTTAATTTGTATCCCTGTAACCTTAATTTGTATCCCTTTAATCTTATTTCGCATCCCTGTAACCTTAATTTGTATCCCTTTAATCTTATTTCTCACCCCTGTAACCTTAATTTGTATCCCTTTAATCTTAATTCTCACCCCTGTAACCTTAATTTGTATCCCTTTAATCTTATTTCTCACCCCTGTAATCTTAATTTGTATCCCTTTAATCTTAATTCTCACCCCTGTAATCTTAATTTGTATCCCTTTAATCTTAATTCGCATTCCTTTAATCTTAATTCATACAGTCTTTATCTGAATTCGAACAAAGTAAGAAAAAGAAATCACCTGTATATAACGCTATGAAATATCCGTTTCGTTTAAGTCTTTATGTACTGTAATCCTAAATTTGATTTCTGATGAATGCGATATGGAAAATGTCGTCTCAAGTCAACATTAATGTTTGATATATAATCAACAACATTATACGTAACATATAAGAAAAGGTAAAAGTGTTTCCATATATGAGCAAGATGGAAAGCAAATATCATTTTTCACCGTTGACCTCCTTGTATGACCTATGTTCTTGCATGACCTTTGAACTTTCTACTTATTTTACCTGTCCGAGAAAGACCTAACACTTCAGGCGGAGGATCACGATGAAATTAGACGTAGACAAAGGTAATGTACTGTAACACTATATATATTAGGCATGTACATTTAGGTGTTAAATGATAACATCTTTAAGTTACCAGCATATTTGTCCGAGTTGACATTACATCGTACGTGTCAGCTAAACTTCTGCCCCTAACACGTGTCCCAGCCTGTTAAACACGAGCATGTAAACTTCTTTTAAAGATCCTATTTAACTGTTTTTAAATCTTAATATATGGTCAATGATGAACGAAATAATTAAAAGCGTCGCTATTTATCAATTGTCTTGTCAGTAAAACATAAGAACTTATCAATTAGATTAAAACACATATTATTACTATGAGTTATCTGATAACATCACTAGTGATTAAGTATTTTTTCTAATGATGATATAACTTTTGTACATTCTGCCAATCAGAGCGGGGATTTCTAGTCACTCATTTCTGCCAATCAGAGTGGGGCTTTCTAGTCACTCAATTTTGCCGATCAGAGTGGGGCTTTCTAGTCACTCAATTCTGCCAATCAGCGCAGGACTTTCTAGTAATTCATTTCTACCAATCAGAGCGGGGTTTTCTAGTCACTCATTTCTGCCAATCAGAGCAGGACTTTCTAGTCACTTATTTCTGCCAATCAGAGTGGGGCTTGGAAGCACTGGAAGTTAATTTGAAAAAAAAAAAATCAGAGCAGGACTGTCTAGTCACTCATTTCTGCCAATCAGAGCGGGGCTTTCTAGTCACTCAATTTTGCCAGTCAGAGCAGGATTTTCTAGTCACTCATTTCAGCCAATCAGAGTGGGGCTTTCTAGTCACTCATTTCTGTCAATCAGAAGTGAAATTTCTAGTCACTCATTTCTGCCAATCAGAGCAGGACTTTCTAGCCATTCATTTCTGCCAATCAGAGTGGGGCTTTCTAGTCACTCAATTTTGCCAATCAAAGTGGGGCTTTCTAGTCACTCAATTCTGCCTATCAGAGCGGGGTTTTCTAGTCACTCAATTCTGCCAATCAGAGTGGGGTTTTCTAGTCACTCAATTCTGCCTATCAGAGCGGGGCTTTCTAGTCACTCATTTCTGCCAATCAGAGTGGGGCTTTCTAGTTACTCAATTCTGCCTATCAGAGCGGGGTTTTCTAGTCACTCAATTCTGCCAATCAGAGTGGGGTTTTCTAGTCACTCATTTCTGCCAATCAGAGCGGGTCTTTCTAGTCACTCAATTTTACCAATCAGAGCAGGATTTTCTAGTCACTCATTTCTGCCAATCAGAGTGGGGCTTTCTAGTCACTCATTTCTGTCAATCAGAAGTGAACTTTCTAGTCACTCATTTCTGCCAATCAGAGCAGGACTTTCTAGCCATTCATTTCTGCCAATCAGAGGGGGGCTTTCTAGTCACTCAATTTTGCCAATCAAAGTGGGGCTTTCTAGTCACTCAATTCTGCCTATCAGAGCGGGGTTTTCTTGTCACTCAATTCTGCCAATCAGAGTGGGGTTTTCTAGTCACTCAATTCTGCCTATCAGAGCGGGGTTTTCTAGTCACTCAATTCTGCCAATCAGAGTGGGGTTTTCTAGTCACTCAATTCTGCCTATCAGAGCGGGGCTTTCTAGTCACTCATTTCTGCCAATCAGAGTGAGGCTTTCTAGTCACTCAATTAAAATTTGACGATTTTCTGGCTTGGAAGCACTGGAAGTTAATTTGAAAGAAAAAAAAAACTGTTGGCATGAAAAAAGAATACCGCCTTCAGTAGCCAATTCACAATTGCGTCATCTTGTTGTCATACGTAATATGCTGAATACTCGTGAGCTATATATATTTAAACAGGAAACCATTCAATATCTACTTATGTATATATACGTAATAATTTTTCTTCTCCTGTTTTGGGTGAAGACCACTAAAGTTTCAACAAAAATGATTTCGAGTTTCATAAATCAAATGCCAAAAATTGCATATTATTATGTAAGAAGGTATTTTAATCATAATTTACCAGTTTTCATCAACGCAAATAGGAGTCGAGATAAGCAACTAATAAGTAGGTTTGTTTCCTAAATCTTTCATAAAGGCAACAACGTGTGATCCACATGGGTTGCCTCGTTACCTTATGTAGGATATAGAGACGATAATATTAGTAAACGCATGTAAACATACACGGATCAAAGTTGAAATATTTCATATTCCGGACAGTTGAGTATAAATAATTTTCAAATGCATGTTACTTAACCTTTACGTCAGGATTACAAGTTTTCTTGACCACCTGGCGTCCGGACTAGCGTGATCCACGGTATATAATTGAGTTCAATATAAACAACGGTGATAAATAACGACATACGTACACGCTGTTAGACAAATGTCTGTAATTCAGAAACTTTATAATGAAGAATAAGAATTAATCTGCTTGATATGACGTTGTTTACCTATCCGCGAACCGAAGTCGTTAACTTCTGACTGTCGCGACATACGACGGAGGTGACTTGATATGTTGCTTCTCATGTGTGTACGAAGAATATTTATCTTCTCAGTGCTTGTGAATGTGTACAAGTAAATGTCAAGTATTTGCGGAACCTTAATTATTTTTCTCACACACATATATTTCAGATTTCTTTAAACCTCTCCAACACATACAACTATTTCATGAATAGTTTAGAAAAGTGTTCTAGTAATAGCCACAAGGCGAAACGTCCTTTATATGAGGTAGGGTTGAAAGAAAGGACACGCCACTTTTCAGAAGTGCGTACGAGAAAAGTATGTGACCATTTCAAGGATATATAAGATATCAGTATCCACAGATGAAATACACTGTATAATATCAATTCAACATAGGTTGATTGTTTTTTGTTTGTCATGCTGCCTCAGGTTAGTGCCACAATTGTTCGTACAGGGCCAAACACATCCACAAGGTCGTGTCAATTACCAGACGGCACGTGTCCTTGAAAAACAATAACCATTTCATTGATGGTGCCTTTATGTTGTATCTTTATTTACATGAATCGTGATTGAAGTCGACAGAGCGCTTTGAAGAAATGTGAATCATTGATATTAAACAAATACCAAAGTAAAAATCAATTTCAACATTTGTTTAAGTCGACATAAGAATGATAAACATATCGTGAAAAATATTTTACCCAGAATTCTTCAGAGATTAAGTTGAAAAGCATGTACAGTGAATATGTTTAGTGTGTCTCCTCGTCAAGTCAGGGTCATTTTGAGGCAAAGTCTATTTGTAGTAACTGGCTTTTTCATACAGTGTTTTCGTCATGTGTTATCCTTAGCAATTTGGATAAAGGGCATTTCCCAAGAACACAATTACCACAGTAGCTGATAGTTAACGCCCCGAGAAGGGATTCTGATATCGCACTTTTGAGCTCCACCATGTATCTATTCAAATTGTAAAATTGTCAAAAATGCTACAAAAATTGCAGATGTACTTAATTGCTTACCGCCATGTTTAAGTCTTCTGCTTGGCTCTGCTTTTCAAATTCAACATGTGCACCATACCTCTGCTAGTGATTTTTTAAACTGAGACATGGTGTCCAGTCTACTAAATAAAATTACTAGACTTTCATGAAATCTATTACTATTACTTTAAATCGCATGTCACTTGTGACGCCTTTAAATGGCAGTTTCATTTGAAGACCAAACTTTCGGCAGTAAATACATTTATGTCACTAGGGTCTATATTTCACTGCAAAATGTGTATAAGCAGACGTCATAAGCATTGAACTATGCTGCCTATGGTGTTTATTATCGATATAAAGGACAAAAGTTGCAGATAAGCATAGCATAATGCACAATATTAAAGTGAGAACATTGCTTATGGGTTATGCTTGTCTACCAAACGTTTTTATTGATTTCGGCCATAAAAACCAAACCTGGCAATTTTATGTCTAAATAGGATTTATATTTACATACCACGAAAACAGCGAACAAATTAAAACAGTAAAATGGCTTGATTCTGCACATTTAGAAGAAAAAGGCTAAGTAGCTACTTGTCATTAAAAGCATTCCACCTATCTAAAGTCGGCTAAAAAAGCCTATACGGATTGCCAGAAGTAATGTCTATTTACAAAGTGTATCTAGGTTACGTCTATGTTTGAAGTTACTTTAAGTTTTAAATTATCTACAGCAAAGAGCCAAGCTGACTTGTAATTTAGCAATGTTGCCAGAGGGCTTCGTTATTTGCATACAATTGTACACACGTTAAGGTATATAAAAGTAAATGGCAGCCATCAACTGGACTTAAATATTACGTTTATCATCTTTATGTGGTCAACATTGTCAAACTTTCAGGCGTGGAAGTCTAAATACAGATAAAAACAGCCACAGCTTCTGTTATTCTTAAGTAAATTTATAATTACAAGTAAGACATTTGAGTCATTTGTGAAAACGCTAATGCACGATATTCGAAGCAATTTCCGCGTTAAAGTCTCATTCAGACGTATGGAACCAAGCGAAACACCAATCAGCGATATTTAGGGAATAAGGATATTGAGAACTAAATACAATAAAACATTGTGTGCCTAAATCCAATATCTGACGGAGCCGATTATCTCAAATTTACCATTGTTCATTAGTAGGTCTCCCATGATGACCTACATGTAAATAGATAAAAAAAAATTTCAAATTTTTACTCGTGAAATATAGGAATTTTTCTATTGGATAAAACCAACTGTAAAGGTCACATCGTATATCACCAGTTTTACTAGTGATTTATAGAATTTCGTAGTTTTGACCAATCAGAGCCGTAGTTTCTAAAATTAGATATTCACTGCATTGAGGTTGGTCGATTTTCCTCTTAGTCGGCAAATTGGGGGTGAATGTTGAGTTTATATTTTCCCGGTGCATTTTTGGGTTTTCTCTAACTTGGAATACAAACCTTTTTGAAATCGACTCCTGTCATGAAATGGAAGAATATCAAGTGTTTATTTGAAATGTTGTTGATTTGTTCTGAAGCGTAAGATGTTGGGATGCACTATTTGGAGGTGGATATATGTTTGTTGTGTCATACTAATGTTGTACGCTATATAAACAGAACATATAAAGGAAAACTCATTTAAGTGTTTATCAGTTATTACATAACCCATGTACATGCAATTTCGACATGAAAACTTTAAGTTTGCTGACCTCTCAGATACCACAACAACAAAAATAACGCCATACTTCAAATACTTTAGGTATTCCAGCGTCATCATAACTTAATTCTAAAAATCTTAAATTTTTTCCAGATTTTTTAATGAAATATCGGGAAAAAATCGATGTTTCAAGGAGTTTTATTTCATGGATCATGTTTTGACTTGTTCTTCACGACGGCATGGTTGATTAATATTACAGACTAATGAATTAAACATATTTTATTGCAAAAAAAAATATTACAACAGGATTAGGTACAAGTTATTACAACTTATGAAACACCCTTTCCCCAATATATAACAAAATATAATTAGACAACGCAATAGCCATATGGCAACAGAGAGAGAGAGAGAGAGAGAGAGGAGGAGGAGGGGGAGGAGGATGATTGAGGGGGTAGTTTTGGTGGATGACGTCAAGTGAACCTATTACTAGATTTAATAAAGTTTTGGACATTCAAAATAATTTTCGAGTTTGTTTCAAAAGAAAGATCTTTATAACCATACAATACCAAATCTAAATCACAATGTATGGGTAAATTTACATACTAAACTTACTACTCCTGTAGTGGTGACTAAATAGCGACTATATGCAGATTAGTGTTTATTGGAGTTGATGAAGGTAATGTTTGAGTTATTGGAAAACAGAGTCTTCAGCGTATACATTTGCAAACCAGGGTGGCGAGTGGTGTGCCCCAGTCAACAGAAATACCTGTGTATGGGTATCTAGATGATACATTTGTACCGGCTAGGTTTCTGATGTTACAAACACTTAAATATAGATAAATAAATATTGTTTTACCTACAATGAGAGTAATAATAAAGTAATGTATACACGATTTCCTGTCTGACGGTGTTATGTTTTAGATCATGCAGTGCTGAGACAAAGATACGTCCGTTGAATGTACACTAAGACAGGTCAAGTGTGACACGTTGTAAACAAAACGCTCGTGTTTGTATGTCGCTATTCAGTCTTACATGAAACCAAAATTCACTGTAACATTATCACTCCTCAGTATGGCGTTACTTTTCAATTATTGATAATACTATTCACAGTTGTGGAGTCGTGCATTCACTAGCTCTTAGGTCAAACCATGACGCTGAAATCATAGTATATGTAGTATTATTATTTATGTCAAGATTTCAAGATTTCGAAAATAAAAGAAATTTTGGTTTGCTTATAAACAACTATACGTATCCCTTTCCTGAACTTTTTACGGTACGTTCTTTCGATAATGATAATTAAAAATATCGGTTTTTTTTTTAATCGGCGTAATTGCATTATAAAATGAAAATGTATCGTTTAATAAGACGCAAAGAAATCGTTGTATTTTCCACCGACAAAATATGAATGAAGATATATATGTCAATCATCGTTCTAGATTTGTTCCATTTTAAATAGATCCTGAAGCGGACACGGAAATGGTAAAGTGTGACGGAGAGACTTCACCGCTCAACTTGGTATCAGAAGGGACATCGTACGATATTCCGCTGCCTACTGGGGGCGAAAACGTTACCTCAGAGGGAGTTAGGTAATAATCATAATCTTCATATTAATTCAATTTCATGATTTATGTATTTTTTAAAATCGTTTTTTAATTCTCGCTAACATTTACATAAGGGATAAATTCCAATTTTATTGAAGGAAAATACAATTTGCTTAAGCTTAAAGGGAGACAATTACACTTTTTGAAACCGAATCTCAGCAAAAACCTAATATTTCTATATATGATACATCTACAATTACGGATTTTTATGCGTTATACATACGTGACGAAAAATTGTCTTGTGAATTGTGTAACTAATTCCTGAACTTGTCATTTTTGTCTAATTATTTTGAAACTGATCATATAAATTTTATACGTGTTAAATAAACTCTTTACGTTTTTATTCCTTTCTTTGACCGCTACTGACGTATGTAATGTGTTTGCTGTCTGTATCAGTCGTGCCGACGTTGTGATTATACTGAGCGGACTATATGGAATCCTGTTGGTGGTCATCGGTCTTGTCCTTCCTATTGCCGAGGCCTTCGTGCATACGGACTGGGGACAGAATTACATATTTGAGGTATGCGTTAACAGATGCCTTAGTTGCTAATGCTTTGGTCAATTGGTCGTAGGACAATTGGTTCGAAACCGGGGATCAGTGAATCACCCTTGTCGACTCCAAATACAATATGATAGGGCATGGATCGGTTAACATATGTTTTTTTCATATTTTGATTAAGCATTGTCTTTAGCAACGGGATATGGCAGGAATTATCCAGCCTGTAAAACTTTTAATTTTCCATTTCTTGAGATCAACATCCCTACATCCTTAACCTATAGTATTGACATGTCGCAGCTGATTCGTAAAGAGCAAAATGTGAAAAAACATTGCAGTTGAAACGTAAAGAAACAATGGTTTTCGATAAATGATGAACAGTTTATCATTGATTTTGAATTATTGGTGTTAAATTATAACTTTATAATTATAACTAAAGGAGTAATTTCACATTATTTTGTACGGTTGATTTTATGACATTTCATGCATGGATGCAAAACTCAAACCCTCCAATAAATAGAAGAAATGACAAATCAAGGCTTTAACGTTTCTGTCAATATGAAACAGTTGAATTTGCACTTGTTCTAATACTCCATATAAAAAGAACATAGTATTGTGCAATAGCTTGCAAAACATTTTTTTAAACGACGGGAGACCTGTCTGATATCGTGGATATATCTTAAAACGATATCTATCTTAAATATTACAAATACTGAAAATTTTTCTGTTAATTTTTCTATTAATTGTCTTCCAGTTTTTCTATATCTACGTGTACACTGCTAGTCTGGCTTTTCTGCTCTTCATCTACCTGTTTTTACTGAGGTCTGAACCTCTTCCGAAACCTACCTGGTTTTATTCGTTATGTACGTGGATACGTTCGAAGATCTCCGCAAGCAAACATAACAAAGAAGAAAGTGTTTCTAAAAAGCCCCAACAGAAGATAAGTTTTGGTGGAGTGACGCATGAGACGGGTAGCTTCTTCCTCCGTCTGGGAGCTGTTGGTAAAATGCTTCATTTTTTTCGATCATAGTTATATATTATTATCCAAATAATGTGTTTTGAAAGGAAATCGTGAGGTAAATGAAGTGATACAAAGTATTCTTAACGAATTTAAAACTGAAACTAAGATTGCATTTTTGAGAATCAAACCCTCGAAAATAAGAAATAATATAGTTACAGAAAAGGAGTTAAAATCAGATGTAAGATTCCGTATATAGCCATTATGATTTCAGCAATATTATAATTATAATTCGTCTTGAGAATCGGGTTTGTCACCTGCTCCATTCAGATACTTTTTCTCACCGATAATGCAAGTTCGAAATTCATTTTTGCTTGCGTTATCAAAACAAAAGAAAAAAACCCAAACAAACAAACAAAAACAAAAATTTAGAAATACAAATGCAGGTCCATAGACCTTCTTTCGATCACTGACGGCGGAGACATAAAACAAATGAACTTATCTGCAACATGATATAACATGATATGTACTATTTCATAACAAATATATGCAACTATTTCAAGGTTTTCACTTGTGGTGCCGGAAATGCTTACAGCTTCATCTCCAGATTTTGTGACCTTTCAGATTGTCTTTACCCGATTCTCAAAAGTGATTTTTCATTTATCACCGATATTCCTATTTTTAATATAAAATTCTTATAGGTCTGTCTACATATCGAGCTGATACCTGTTACTCAACGGGAAAAGCAATAAACAGAACGAATTTCTAGCATAGAATATTATAAAAATTAAGCAAATAATCCAACATTATTCTTGACAGGTTTCGGTATCGGAAGTATGGTACTGGACGCGCTGTATTTTGGTCAGTATTTCGAGTTTGGGGACAGCCATAAATTCTGCATGGATGCCACGCAGATACTGAAGCCAGCCATCAAATCTTGTTTCTCGTTTTCACAACTCTTCTTCATCTTCCGAAATTCAAGGGTAAGTCTGAACTATGAATGCTACATATACTCAAAAATGGTATTGTTTTCCTGCATATTTGATCACTGCAGAGTTTTCCTCGTTTTTTATGATGTTCTAGCTGAATATCACATTTCGCTCCATTATTGTGAACAAAAAGACCACCGAGCACTAAACACCAATATACTCTGAACATTGTAAATCAGACAAGCGTCCAGTGTTGGTACTATGTTTTATTGTAAACATAAAGGCAACACCGTCTATCATTGCTCCTTTGATTTGTCGTTTAAGCTAGTGTACCTCATTGTCCCTGTGTTTAGCTTATAGTGTATGACTATTATTTTGGTGTTTAGACTAGCGAACATCATTGCTCCTGTATATGATCCTATATTTAGACTAGGTTTAGGGATTTTTTAACGCCCCAAGATTTGTTATATGATTGGATAGTAGACTGTTTCTGGTTAAACGTCCTGAAATTGGTGCTATGGTTGGTATGTAGACTAGCGTCCATCACTTTTTGTTTTAGGTTTACCGTTCTAAAATTGATAATATATTTAGTTTTTAGACTAGCGATAATCATACTATAGCGGAGGTTTTAGACACCTATCGATTAGTACTGTAGAGTTGTAAGAAAATAACTCAATATTTTGTAGTGGTAATTGCTGGCGTACACCATTGCTTGTATACTGTATTTCTTTCATCATTATTCTTGCTCTTTGTTTATAACCGAGCTTCCACCAATATTATTTACTCTTTAGGTGAGCATACTGAAGCATTCCTTCGTCGCCCGGTTTGGGTTCATGCACATGAGCGCTACAAACGTTTGCGTTTGGTTTCGAGTCATTGTCGTGGAGACGCTTCATTCAATACACAGCCACAAAAAATCACACCATTACGCCAGGTTGAACTCAACAAGAATAGGTAATTCTTTGTGTTAAAGAATGCAAAGAGGTTATTGATAAATTGTGATTATTGTGTCAGTTTTTTTAATTATATGTCCATGGAACAGTTTATACGATGCTTTCCAAACACAATGTGTCAACTGTAAAGGGAACTACCGTCCTACTTGATAATCGTACTTCATTTCAAAACTTAATAACACAGTGAATGTCTGGATTCAAATTCACATCTAAGAGATATTTACAAAATCAACCTCCATACTTAATTAATGATAGGTAATAACTAAGCAAAACTTAAAAATATAACAATGTGATTGGTAAATTTGAGTTTACTCTTTCAGTGGAGCATAATGTAAGTCATAGTTGGATTAATCGGGAAATCGGGATGTCGTATTTCCCCGCACTTCCCGAACTTTCATGTCAGTGGAGCAATTTGATTGGTCAAGTTCTGCGGTCTGCAAGTCCCTACCTATATCCTTTCACTATTGAGTACAGCGTCATCTGCGCTGGTAAGTAGCCATTCTAACTTCCAAACTACAACAAGTAACGTCACCATATTAGTACTGTAAATCCGTTTTTGAGTTTTAAAAATTTGTATTTTGACAAAAACTTGAAGCAAATCGATATATCTATAATTCGAGACTGGCAATATGGTCGTTGGACTATAATTGTCAATGGGCCGTAATATCCACTAAAATGATAACAATAATTTGAGAAAGAGAAAATCGTATATTTTTGATGTACGAGAAAGCTACATGCATAACAACACGTTCTCATAATTCGCTCAAGACACCAAGTTTTTTTTTTTGTTTTTTGCTTGTTTTGTTTTTGGTTTTTGTTTTTGTTTGTTTTTTTTGTTTTTTTTGTTTTTTTTTATGCCATAAGCAGTGTTTTTTATTCCAGGGATATTTTTTGTGATGTGGCAAAATGTCGGTATGACTTCTAAAAGGGCTTCAACAATTGATGACATACCACACAGCCACCATCTGATCAGCATTGATTGTGCAAGCTCCAGTCGTGGCCTTTTTCTTGGAATTTTGACATTCGTTGCATCACTTGTTTCAATGATTATTTTTAGTGTCGTTGTACAGACAGACAACGAGAGTCAAGTGATCGTCCTAGTAGTTTATCTAAGTGAAATTATTGCATATATATTCATGATAATTGCATCTATTTTCGCTATGATTCGCATGCGCCATTTAAAATTTTCAAGTAATTTAACCGACGAACTGGAAAAAATTTTGGCCTGGTTATCGTTCAGTGGACTTTTCATGTTTTCAGTCTTTAGTATTTTTGCTGCAGTTTATTTCATTGACACTCTGGAAGCTGTCTTGACGATTGTAACAAGTATATTTTCAATGATACAAGCGACGCTTCAGACAATGTTGCTGATCATGGGAATGGGGATGTCAGCCGGAAGTCAAATGCACGCGACAAAAAAGTCGGGGAGAGAGTTCGTTACTTTCCTGCTCATGTGTAATATAACAATGTGGGCGAATACGACTTTTCAGATAAAGAATGTCGCCCACAACCCAGTGCAACTGCAGTTCTACGGACCGGAAGCCTGGGGAATATTCACCCATGTTTCAGTACCACTCTCCATCTTTTTCCGGTTTCATTCTACGGTGTGTCTTTCTCATATTTGGAAACACGCCTGGAAAATGAAACAGCAATAGGAACATCTCCTTATATAACTTTGAAGACCGAATTGTTTTTGTCAAATCTTTTACGGCAATTATTATTCTCCTAAAATCTTTGACGTAATTATGCTGATAAGTACGGATCGCTGACAGTTTGGCACAAACACGATACGCTGCAAAATGTATTAACTTAGTATATTGTCAATTATCGTGTAAATACAAACATATCTTTCACACGTTTATACGATCTTTATTAACTTTTTTATAAATCCATTTTCTCCTTCAGATTTTAAACACTAGTTTTCTGTTTAATCTTTGGCTTTCTATTACTCGTTGTGGTGTTTTGTCTGTTTTGAAATGGAAATCACGAACCGTAATATGCTGTTTTGAGTACGGGTGCTTTATTTATACAAATTGCCTTGAGGTGACTTACGTCGTATGTTGTTGAAAGAAAGCTAGCAGTAATAGACGGACGATACACCTAGAAAACAAACTCAGAATCATCTATTCATACCGATATGTCTGGTGCCTAACATAAGAATGGAAAATAAAAACATTAAAATCCCTTCAGCATGGCAGGACAGATCAGAAGAGAGATAAGGACGACCGGCAAAAGGACAGAGGGAAAGAAAAATGATTATGAAAGACAAACGTTCAGAATGGCTGGCCGAGAGAAAAGGACAAATATAGAATTCGGCAAAGAGTAGTTGACGAAAGGAAGTCGATGCTGTTTTAAGTGTTATTTGTAAAACATGCAAACTATATAATTAAATGCAGCTAGGATTTAGAGATATTGTGGAATTTTCTGGATTTGTTTGTTGGATATTTTCTGTGAAGATCTGGGACTTAACGTTTGATATGATGGTTCTAGTCATTTATGATACATTTATAGCTGTACATAGGGTTAATATCAAACCGACCAGGTACGTAATTCTACAGGTGTGCAATAGGTTGCGACTGTTAATGTAATTAAGTTATTATCATGGCGTCATCAACGTCTTTACGTTTCAACGCATGAAATGGAGGCAGTGAGATAAATTTGTTAATCATAAATCATGAGGTATTTTATTGAGAATAGTTCGTAAAATTTAATCAAGATTAAGTTTTATATTCCTGTGTATACAAGACAAAATTCCAACTTTGTTCTCCAATTACCTCAATAAAAGATAGTGCTTTTATAATTTCGTCATTTGCGCATGTATTTCATTTAATGAACTATTCATACAATATAGTCATTTGTAATTTAGAACCAAAATAATAATGATATACAAGTATCTCATTTGATCTTATGATAATGGAATAGTATCATCAATGACACATTAAAAAACATATTAAACGTTGCAACTGTCTTGAAACTTACATTATGGTATCACAGATGCAACAGCTGGTAACTGAAATGACCTGTACATGCATGCTGTATTGAAAGCGCACAATAAAACAACATTGTCTACCTTATAACAGAAGAGCACCACAAACTAACTAAATGAAGGGAAATAACTCTGTCATAATTATAACAGTTGTATAAACGGTACGTACCGTAACGGCACATAAATTACATATATTCTAGTCATAAACATACTTTGTGTTTCGATGTTCAAATTCGATTACATTGGAGTGTCTTTTGTTTATTTTAAGTATTACATAAACATATGAACGTATAGTGATTGTGAATTTATAGCAGTTTTACTCAACTGTCTCTCAAGGAACTGTTATCAAGGGAATTAAAACAAAACAATCGTTAGTATTACTCGACAAAAAGGCTTTTAATCTAAACAGAAAGATAAATGTGGCTAATTTTAGGCTCACCATCTTCGTCTGATAATCGTTAAAGCAGCCCATACATTGTACGTTTATCATACTGTGTCTAATTTTGGTTCACAATCTTCGTTTGATAATCGTAAATGTAACTTATACATTGTACATTTATCATACTGTGTCTAATTTTGGTTCACAATCTTCGTTTGATAATCGTAAATGTAACTTATACATTGTACATTTATCATACTGTGTCTAATTTTCGGTTCGACATCTTCGTCTGACTGTCGTGAAAGCAAATTTTAATTAAAATCCAGATATACGATTCCAGATGCGGTAGGGTTTTTAAGCAAATGAATCCTGTGAAATGAATTACAAAAAATGCAATGCATGGTTTCGGTCATACATCACGTGGTCACGTCATCCAACCTTGGGCAGTACACTAACACCCTTACGTGAATATCACTTAAAGCTTCCGTGTAACCACTTTTAACCGAAAGGAAAATGGTCGGCACTGACTGAAAATTGTTTGAAAAGTTTCAAGAGTACATATTTTTTTTTCTTCTCTGGTTCTGCCAGTATGCTTAACATTTAGACAAAACGGTCGATTTCGTGTATATGTTCTCTCTTATCGTACATTATGATATAGCAATTTGTTGTTTATGATTAGGAGTCATGGAACATTGGTTTGGTCAAAAGGGTAAGGGTAATTGATCGACTACGAATTAGAGTTCCTATAAAAATAGAACAGATATGGCTAAATGAATGTGATCGACATTGGCTATAATAAACAACGCGACGTTGATGGAATAGATATGTTGCAACTGTGTGTCTTTTTGATTACTACTCTTATAAGAAACAGGTCGGTATTAAATTTTAACTCACCATTCGTGAAATGAAATCCTAAAAAAGGGGAGGAAAATAAGAAAAAAAAAAAAAAAAACTGAAAAAAATTGATCAGTTCGCACACTGATATAATATCGGAAGCACTACAATATCACATGGATTTATTGACATCAGAGACGATATTCAACAGAAATCAAAACCCATACTTATTATTGTGGTTAAACCTTACAGCACTGACGGTTATTTCGAAAAGAATTCAATATGTGATAAGGTCTAAATGTGAAACGTCTAGGAGAGTGAAAACGAGATGGTATCTTCTAGAGCCATCCTTCGCTAAACATTTTATTTGTTATGTTTGTTACGTCGCTGATGGATAAAATGGAATAATACATGATCAGTCATTTCAATATTATTATCCATTTAATTTCAGATCGATGAAATGTAGTTTTGGAATCTATCGCTTATCCACCGTAACGCAACATTATATGGTAGTGTCCTGTACCACTGTTCTGGATCGGATTTCCACCACTATTAACATGTTTCGTCGTTGGAGCATAGCGACCAAGAACATCTTGGTGACTGGGCCTGTGAATATAGCCCTGCAATCGCTTCAGTTGACACAGTTTATCTCTACGTAAAGCATAGATATTAATGCAGAAGTCTAAGAAAATGCAATGCGGTAAAATATCAGTAGACCTGATGTAAATCAGTCTGGACAACTCTTTCCTGATAGTACTGTACACTAGGGTAAACTGGAGATGTCGATTGCTTCACTTCGGGGGCCTGTTTCCAGGCCTTATAGACAGCCTTGAAAGCGTCCTCATATTCCTCCAAGTGTTGATGACAGTAACCAAGCATATTGAATGCCACAGCCTTATTGGTGATGCCAGGAAGATTACATTACCACACCATATCGTCAAGTGCCTTCAGCTGTTCTATGTTCTGATCGGACTTCAAACAACACCAGAACCGGAGGAAACACACGTATACAAGTCTATCGACTGCAACTGTATTGCATATGTCAGCTTAAACGTCGGAAAGGGTTGCTTTGATTTTTCGACGCGAGTACATTTCTATTTGTAAAGTCTGTGGAAGGCTGCCTCTTTCATATCATAGGAACAAGATGTTTAACACATTTGACATATCAAAATCAAATTCTTTGTGAAGAAACAAAGGTAAATGTTTCAAATCTTCATTTAAATAGAGATACATTTAAGAGATTGTTTCACGAATTGAAAATACAGACATTTAAGATATTATTTAAGGGGTTGTTCATAGATTTACCTTCCTTTAATCAGCCTATATAAAAATAAATATTGTTCAAGGCTTGTGTCAATAGCATTTTCCCGACTTTGGTTGGAATGATGGTTTGGTTTGGTTAGACATTTTAACAAATTAGGTTAACTGGTGTTTTCACAGATGATGCTCTCTAAATGGCCTATTCATAGTGCTATTTCATGAAAAGTCATGTCACAGAAACGTTGAAGAAATCTCATTACGCTGACATATTCTTGCATAAGAATAGACAAGTTGTATGACCTTATTTGGCATTCAATTAGTAGTAGTGCGTTATTGACAAGTAAGATAATATGAAATAGGCACTGCCAAATAGCGAGCTCGTAATATGTTCAATACTATGAGACATGAATCTGGCTTACATTGAGATCCTTTGGGGGTGTTTTTGCATTTCAGTTAATTTTTTTGCGTAACAGGTTAGTTCATTACTTTGTTTTAGAAACTTTGCACACAAATACCTGGTCGTCGTAAGCGATAATTCTGTCATTCTTATTACCTATTTCAAAGTTGTAGTGATATTTTAAGGTAGAATTTAAAAATTAACAACACGAGTGAATGACAAAAAATGGTTTTATAAACTCTTTATACAACAGAATCTTCGTTCTGTTTTCTTTACAATGAGTCACTGTGGCAAACTGTTATTAATTCATTTTTATTGATATTTGGAGAGTGTACAGAAGGTACCCAATTCCCTGTGCAAAATATAATTATGTTTACTAATTTGTAACCCCTAGTAAACGTTTGCAAAACTTTAAAATGGGTACATTGTATACTTAATCATTTGAAGGTCAACCTGACCAAACAGTGATATGGATTTTTTTTAGTTTTATCAGATAAATCGTATGATCAGTCGACAATAGGTTATGGAGCCTTAAGATGGACGTTGCCAACACCAGCGAAATGAAATTAACGTTCAATATCTTATTATATTTTTACGACATTCTAAAGGCCCGTCAACACAAGAGGTCATTAGGGCCATCAAACGGTAAAACATCTAACGTTTAAAGAGGAACCAAAACCTGATCATTACGCAATAACGTTTTAAGTTTCAGTGCAATTTTGACAAAATACTGACAATTCATATTTAAGTATTTTCATTACAGTGGATGATAAGGGAGAATTTATTAATATACATCAAG